TTAACCCTTTAAGTTTCTTGTTTCGGGAAAAAGGTCGCTTAAAAAATTGCCTTGCTATTAAATAATAAAGAAAAAAAGTTTATTTTAATTTAAAAAAAAGTTTTAAACAGTTTTTGTGTTCGCGCCTTGGATGGTTCCTAAATGGAGTCTTTCCATCACGACAGCCCACTTTACAGGGGCATCCCATCCCTGCGATGGCAGCTTTTCTGTATAGGTTCGTTGTTTGCTGGGAAGCTGCCATCCGTGAGTAGAGTAGATAAATAATAATTTAAAAAATAAACATGACAAAACATTTAATAAAAATAAATTTAATGAGATAAAAGATATTTAAAAATAATATATAAAAGATACAATGATAAAAATACAAAAATTGAATTATAAAAATACAATATAAGATAAAAAAGACAATATACTACGAAAAAGATAAAATGTATATAAAATATTGAAATTTTGTCTTATACATAAAAGTTAAAAATATTGTATGTGTTTTTTCACTGTATCAACCAATAAATGTTTTGTCACCATCTCCATGCCATAAATATTTCACGAAAAAATACCGTCCACTCCCAGTGTAAAGTAATTAGAGGTAAGGAAGCAGATTATTGGCTGATAAAGTTGATAGTCAACTTCTTTTACACTGTAGTTGGTTACTTTCTATTTATATTGATATTAGATCAAAGAATCAGCCACCTGTAAAAAGAGTAAAGGTCAAATTTCTGCTAAGTGATAACTCAGGCTACAATCTTTGAAATCCGTATACAATTGGTATAAAATTGTTTGTTTCTATCGTTTTTAGCTCTAATTAGCTAATTTATTGTTTTTAGACAGTATTTAGGTGAGCAAACATTATTTTAAAACAGAGAAGTTATAAATTATTTGAGAAAGTGATCTTTTCCACTCACTGTTACATAATATGAGAAAATATGTAAAGAATCACATGCGAAATTGCTTAGTATAGTCTATTATTGTAAAAGTCGTCCAAATAATATAAAAATAATGTTTCTTATACATTATAGCTAAGAAACTGGTGTTGACTCGGACCCTCGATGACTCTCCACTTTCCTCCTAGAAGAGTAATTAGAGAAGTAGTGTAAATAACGGCAATAACTTCTCACTTGCTGTAGCTAGAAAGCTGTGGTTTGTTTTGTTTTCAAACAATAATGTGGGTAACTAATAAATCTATGATATTTTAGCGAATTTCTGTAAATAAATAAATTATTCTGTACAAAACAATCGATATATAAAGATAAGAAAAAATTACTCTAGACAATCCTGTTATTTTATGTTTTCTTCTGGGATTGACAATTGCAGGCAGAAGTGTCAAAGAACTTTTATTATAAAAGCTTTTTTATATGAATATNAAACCATGGTGGAATCAGAATTGCGAGGCAGCATTTAAAGCACAAAAGAAAGCATGGGGAATTTTTAGAAGATACCTTACTGCTAGAAATTTGATTGCTTTTCAAAAAGCGAAGGCAAATGCCAGAAGAATAAGAAGGCTTCAAAGGGATTCTTGGAAGAAGTATGTTTCAAGCATAACATCTTCCACTAGCTCAAAAGCAGTCTGGGATAAAATTCATAAAATTAATGCGAAATATGCTTCTCACTCTCTGTCCATGCTGGAATATAATGGCACAATAATCAGCGATGTACACGGTATTACTGATTTATTGGGTGAAACATTATCTGCTTCATCCAGTAATATTGTGTATTCAAGGAATTTTCAGGCTTATAAAGCCCAAAGAGAAAAACAATGTTTAAACTTTCATTCCTCATTTAATGAGGAATATAATGTGCCATTTACTAGAATCGAATTACATACAGCAATCTCTCGCTTGGGGAATAGTGCTGTAGGCCCGGATAAAATTCACTACAGCATGATTAAAAATCTGTCAAACAATTCTCTTTTTAATATCTTGCATCTGTTAAACAGAATATGGACAGAACATACATTTCCTGACTCTTGGAGGCTATCTACCATTATTCCCATTCCCAAACCTGGTAAAGATCACAAGAATCCCTCTAATTACAGACCAATCTCTCTGACAAGTTGTCTCTGTAAAATTTTCGAGAGAATGGTAAACAGATGTCTAATGTATCTCTTAGAGAAAAAGGAATACTTTTCACCACATGAGAGTGGTTTACGTAGGAACAGAAGTACCACTGATAACCTGGTAAACCTTGAAACATCTATACGCGAAGCGTTTGTTAGACTCAGCACTTAGTGTCTGTGTTTTTTGACATAGAGAAGGCTTATGATTGCTGTTGGCGATACGGGATACTCCGTGATCTACACTAATTCAAATTGCGGGGTAATTTGCCAATTTTTATTAAAATCTTTTTGCAGAATCGAAGATTCCAAGTCAGGATGGGCAACACTTTATCTAGGTTTTTCACACAAGAAGAAGGTGTTCCTCAAGGTTCTATTTTGAGTGTGACTCTGTTCCTAATTAAAATTAACAGCATAGCTAACTGTCTCCCTCCCAGTGTGAAACACTCTTTGTATGTGGATGACTTTCAGATTTCCTGCCAGTCCAGTAATATGAGTTTTATTGAGAGACAACTTCAAACTTCCCTAAATCACATATATGATTGGTCCGAGACCAATGGCTTCACGTTCAACGCAGCGAAGACATTGTGCATCCACTTTTGCCGAAGGCGTGGTTTGCACCTGGATCCTGAAATTCATTTAAATGGGGATAAAATTTTAATGGTCAATGAGGCTAAGTTATTGGGTGTTTGTTTCGATAAAAAACTGACATTTTTGCTACACTTGCGCAACATGAAGAGTAGATGTTTAAAATCTCTAAACCTTTTAAAGGTATTATGCTGCTCATCCTGGGGAGCAGACAAAGTTTTGATGCTCAGGGTTTATAGGGTTCTTGTTTGCACTAAGCTGGACTACGGTTGCATTGTTTATGGCTCTGCGCGAGAATCTACTCTTCGGACGCTGGATCCAATTCATCATCAAGCTTTGCGTTTGTGCACCGGTGCATTTCGAACTTCCCCTGTTCAAAGTTTGTATGTGGATGCTTATGAGCCTCCACTATCTCTCAGGAGAGAACAGTTGTCTCTTTTCTATTACATTAAACAAAAATCTCAGAAAAAACTTACAGCTGATTGTTCAGATACTCAGCTGAAAAGATTATTTGCCACTCGGACGAGTTGTGTCCCTTCATTCGAGATAAGAATGGAGAATGTAAGCAGCACGATTGACCTAGACACAAGCAACATCTCACATGTTGAGGTTAATAGTATTTCACCTTGG